TGCATATATAATTTTCTTATAAATTTATAGAAATATTTAAGATTATCAAATTCCTGCGATTTTAAAAATATGTTTATTATTCGTATCGTTTTAAAATTTGCAAGACGATTTTCTTTGTAAATTTCAGATTTTTTTTTCATTGTTTATAATATTACTGTTACATTTGAAAAATTATCTTGAGTTTTAATCGCATTAAAAATTTGCACCATGTATTTTTTACCGCAAATGGTAATAATGTGTCCTGGACAGAATAATTAAAATTATACTGAATGTTATATCCACGATGGATTAAAGAAAGAAAATAAATTATGTAAACATATAAATCAGAATTATAGCTAGTTAGGTTAGGTTAGGTTACATATTATCATCGTTCCAATTAATTTTATTCCATTTTTAAATTTTTTTTTTTATTATTTATTATAAATTAAAATGTTTCAACACACTGGGTGTTATTACAAGTATTATTTTTTAAATTAATTTGTGTTATCTATAAGAACTTATATAATATGTATATTACAAATGATGATGCGTTGTCGTCCGATATAATATAATATATAATTTCTTAATTATTTCAGAAATAGACAATTCACGCTTAATGATATTAGATAGTATGAAAACAGTAAACAGTTACTTGAACCATATCATTCTATTTAACTGCATCCGAACGAAAATTTTGGTATTTAAAATTATGTTTCGGGATTTGGCGTAAGACTAACAGGATGGAGGTGAAAAATTCAAAAAAAGGATAGTTTTGAAAGGATTTATTGAAAAATTAAATTTTGCTATGCGCGAAACGTTCACACGCGTTACAATTCAAACAACGTACGTCAAAATTCGCTAATTAAATGGTCTATAATAATAATTGTTTTTGTCGGCGTCGTCGCCATTACGAACTAAAAGTGCTGCGTATTTTGTGACGACGGTAAATTTCAATATTCTTACCGTTCTTGATTAATCGTATTACGTACGTGAATAACGGTCTATTGAGTAAATGTTATCTATATTTTAGTGTTAAACGAAAGTGATTGATATATGGGATGATTCATCGAGAAAACTCACAATACTTTTATTCCTTTAAAATAAATTTGTTCACATACTGGATTTTGAAACTTTTAAGTAGACCATTAATTTATTAAGCACAAAACGTAATTAATAAAAGACCATATTTTTAATTATTTATATTTTAATTACAAAAACCTCGTTATTTATTTATATCTTTATAACAGTAACTATTTAGAATTGGCACTCCAAGAAATTTCTGGGAATTTCTAGAGAGTTGCAAGAACACGCAGAATCGTTCCCTGGAATACTGAATTATGAAATCATTTAAATTGAATAATATTTTACGTAAATATTCTTTATTATTTATTAGAATACATGAAGTAATGATATTCCTTCTGAAATAAATATTAGTAAATCAATTGCATCTAAATATCAATTGTTTCAATATCATATTATAACCACTGTGATAATCACTACGTAGATATTTGTATTTATAAATTATAAATAATTAACTACGAATTATTTTCTCATCTTGTATTTAATTGTTTTAACTTAATATTATATTTGAACGTCTTAAGTTTAATAGTTTTCATACATACGACACTGATAATTTTTGTTATTCTAGAAAATCCTTTCCCATGAATTTCAGCTAAGTTATGTAGTTCATCAGATTTGACTAATCTTACAACTACTAAGATTCTATAAATAAAATTCTTATGAATCACTTTCAAGTATTAAATGGAAATAATACTATATATTGTTACAATATTAAACATTTTTATTTTCTCTTTAATTTCTTGCAGATTGTATTGACTTGCATAATATATTACTTTAAACTTTTACCATCGGAATTTTAAAATATAACACTCATTATTAATGTATAGTGCCTATACTATAATATAAGTAGTATAAAAAGAGGCTGATTTAGTTTTGAACAAATCTGAAAGCGTACACCATAGCTTATCGATTTATGTGCTTTTAATACGTCAGAATGCTAGAATTTAATAACAATAGTGTTACTTTTATTATCAATAAACGAGGCTAAAATTGTTATAAAGGTTCATTTAAATTACGTCGAATATAGACAAATAATAATGTACCAAAATGAATTTGTTGTTAAAATGCAGCTATAATACATTGTGTTAAACAAATATATACATTGTATGTAAGTAGTGAAATGATAAACAAAAAATACAAAATTATATTAAATTCAAGTATTCTTACGAACAAATATGACTTGGATATTTTTCTCCATAAACGCGTATCATAGTTTTCCGATGAGTATAGATATATAATTACATAATATTGCAACTCGTCGATTAAACAGTTTTCCCCATAAAAGATAATATAATTTAAAATACTTACCTATAATCAACTAATAAATTTATTTTTGCCATCGATGGACAATGGACATGAAATCTTATGTCCGAGCTATGGTTGGTGAGGAGACATGATATTACTTTTTCATAAAATGCATTCTAAAGTATCTCTCACAGTCTTCCTAAACGTTATACATAAAACATTATCAATGCGTTATTATAGAAATTCACGTTTTTAGGTTTTAAGTAAACTTTTCACTGTTGTTTTCAATTTAAGCACGTTTGCGTGTACAATTAGCACATATATAAACTAAAAGTATGTTTTATATTTTATTTTTTTGTAAAACAAATAAAGAAAAATAAACATTGTGCACGAAGTGCAGAAGCATCATTAAACGAGTACAAAGCTAAGCTACGGTTCATTAGTAGCGTCGTCATTAGTGCTCGTAACTACAGGGATCACATTTCACTCAATGTGACCAACCTCCGGGATTCGTAATTTTGTTAAAATATCAATGCGATGGCGTTTTTAATTTCCAATGCCACATCACGATAGTCTTAGAACACGTTATCTTGCAATTTATTTAGCAACTATTTTATAACATTGTAAAAACTTTAAAACACTTATCTATTGACTAAGTCATAACAATTTCATATTTATAATAATAATCATCGTGATTCGACTTAATTACAAAATATTTATTTTTTTTTTTTTTGAACTTAAATACAACACGCAATCAATTAACTGTACCATTATATGATATGATATCGATACATAATTTTTAGACTTTCTTCGACATCACGTATTAAAACATATCGGTATAATGTGATCACTGATCAGTGATCACATTGATACACATATTATAATTCTAACATTCCTTTAGTAGAATCATGATTCCATAAAACATATTATTATTTTTTTTTTAAATTATTCTTTGTTAGTATATAGGGTGATTTTTTAAGCATGCTCACCCTATTTTTATGCTTAAGTTAGGCATTTATTCAAATTTTGATTTTTTAAATTTTTAAATTTAATTATTAAAGACAGTATTTTAGGGTACTTAGATTTTTCACAACATTTAAGGAGTATCCTGTGGTGATACCAACTTTGATTTTTCATACGAGATCATACATGTTTTAAATCAAAATGTGAATCAACTAATTTTTTCTGAAAATGTAGATATATTATAATTGAAATTTGAGCGAAAACTTCTGGAGTTATTCTCTTTTAAATACTATGGAATAAGAATTATGTTTATACCTATAAAGAATATAAGATAATATCACGATAAAATAAAAAGGAAATAGTTTTGTACATATTTTCTTTGTTTTAAAAATTGTCGGGTGCAATATTAATCCATAAGCATTTAGTAATAAGTAATAATCATTAACGAATATTTTATATTGCATACCGAATTATAATTATTGATCCCGTATATATTTATTAAGTATTTAGTTCAATAGACTATTATTCTTATTCCCTAGTGTTTAATGGAGAATAACTCCGAAAGTTTTCGTTCAAATTTTAATTACAACACATCTAAATTTTCAGAAAAAATTAGTTGATTCACATTTTGATTTAAAACATGTATGATCTCGTATGAAAAATCAAAGTTGGTATCGCCACAGGATACACCTTAAATGTTGTGAAAAATCTAAGTACTCTAAAATATTGTCTTTAATTACATTTAAAAATTCCAAAAATCAAAATTTGAATATATTCATAATTTAAACATAAAAATGAGGTGAACATGTTTAAAAAATCACAAATTTAATAAAAATTAAACATTTTATATTATATATTATTGATGAAAATAAAATACGCAATGTGCAATAAATTATTGCACCACTTGAACATCACTTAATTTATTTTGCTAACCTAACCTAACATAAAATCATCACATTTTTGGTGATTATAGATCTGTTTTTATCTTTTTGAAGTCATTAAAGACATACAAATAATACATTTAATTACCCGATACACATAGCAATTCTAAAGCAAGTTCAATCAAATACTACCCACAAGCATATTATTATGATTTAGTTTGAGATTTTGATTGGAATAAATAGTTGATGCTATAAACTAATGACCACATCAAGTTAAAACTCACTACATAATAATATTATTTTATGTCAGTTATTTAATGATAAACATCAATTAACCACAACCCCCTTTCACCCACAGACCTTTCCCTGAAATCGAAATAAAATATAAGTGTTAATGCGATCTTATAATGCTCGTATTAGCCATTAGTATTATTTATTATGACTTTTATCATCATAGGAGCAAACTGTCAGTATTTCCGATAAATTCATTCAAACGTGGATATAACTATCATTATTGTTATAAAAGCCGACTGGCGTTAATTAAATATTATTTTTTCACCACATTTTTTATAAAAAAGCAACAATTATCATGGTACGTGTAATAAAATACTGCAGTATAGAAATATTGTAGGTAATAAGTAATAATAAAAACAATGTTTTAAATATTTTTGATTTAAAAATTTAATTTACTAAATAATTATAATTGACTTAATGAATACCTGATTTGGGAGTGCTTGCCTGAGTTTTGGGGATCTTAGTCAGCAAAATTCTCTCCAATTTATTCACCTATATTGTTATCATCGTTGCATATAAATTGCTTTTAATTTTATTTGTAATATATTTCTTTTGCAGCCGGACAAAGAAGACAAGTTGTTCGTTATCAAACCAATACCGACGGTGAATGTCAAACCTGTGATAATATTTATAAACCCAAAGTCTGGCGGCAACCAGGGTGTAAAGCTGCTGCAGAAATTCCAGTGGCACCTGAATCCCAGGCAGGTGTTCGATCTCAGTAGGGGCGGTCCCAGAATGGGCCTGGAACTGTACAAGAAGGTACCGAATCTCCGGGTGTTGGCATGCGGCGGTGACGGCACTGTCGGTTGGGTGTTGTCGATCTTGGACCAAATAGCAAACGCCGTATCGTTTCCAGTGGGCGTGCTGCCATTGGGCACGGGCAACGACCTGGCCAGGGCTCTCGGCTGGGGTGGCGTAAGTATAATATGAAAATTTCAATAATATATTATATTATTGACATATTAGAGATTTTAAGTACCTTAAATACAATCATCTAAGATTAATAACTTACCTTATAGATACATATGATCTTGTATTTTAACCAAGGCTTGCAAATGTTATAATAACATTATGATTATAACGTTATATTTGACAAAAAACGATTGAGATTTGTAACGTAATATTATAACGGAAAACGATAAACATAAATACATATAGTTAAATAACACAAAACAAAGCATAACGGTTAACAAAATATATAATATATCATAAAACAAAACATAACGCAAAACGTTAAATATAGTATATCATTAAATGAAATAATTAATTTTCAATTATTTAATAGTTATAATTTTTAAAATATATTAAAAAATTTAATTTTGAATAATGATAAACGCAAAAATTGAATAACGTTTAAATTCTGAATAACGATAAACTCAAAATGTGTATAACGTTTTAATTGTAAATAACGTAAAACAAATTTTTTTTTTTCAAATGCAAGCCCCGATTTTAACATTTATCGATTGTGCATTTACGTATATAATTATTTTTTTCGTTGATAAATCTTTTATTTCTTACATTAATTTTATACTAGACATGAATATAGAAAAAGTTATTATTTAAAATTTTTTAAATTTAACTTGTTTTATTTCAAAAATTGATTGAAGAAATTATAAAATGAATCAATAACATTCTGCACTTTGCAATGAATATAAATAATTTTTTTTTAATTTTTAACCAGAAAAAAAAATCATTACTTTCATTGAACACAGATAGTTGTGTATGAGTAGGTTTAAATAAACTCACATTAAGGTAATCGGAGATTCCTGTTCTGGAGATCGATTTTACAATATACAGAATCTATTATTTTTCTCAAGTTAAGTAAATTACACTGAAATATTAGATATTTATTATTACAATTATTTTTAAAAATGTTTTTTTTTATTTTAAAATAAATATAACTGCAGTTGGTATTTAGGATATTTTCCAAAATTTTAAATGTATCATGTACCTAGAGTTAATAATGGGCGTTTCTACTATGTAAGCAAATCCAAATAATTTTGTTTAAATTATTTTTCCCATCTCTTTTTACGATCATGTCAAAACAATCAATAAATCTATTTACTTTATCGAAAACGTTATTTTCATTATTTTTTTTTTCAATACAAAAGTTGTATCGTCTTAAATAAACTGTACTGCAAAATGAATAATTACGTGTATATTGATCAGATACACTATAGCGACTAAACGTTACAAAATACATCTTTCTGAGGTGCTATATTGAACTAAATGTATACATGTATATTGTAAATTAACTATATTTTCTGACGAAAACTACAAAAAAGTACATTTATAATTTCACTACACAATAATATCGTGTAAATGTGCCATCTTTTTCGTTACAAATATTTTTATTCCTTGGACTGAGGATGCACATATTTTAGTGTCATTATGTATTGTTTTGACACGTACATCACCCCGGCCCCACCCATTTAGAATTTTTGAAAATTTTCTTTACTAATATTCAGTATGTAATTCGTATGAATTTGAACGAAAATTTTAAAAATTTGTACAATCACAATTTTCAAGCAACAAATAAAAAAAATGTGATACGGTAGTTTAAGTAGATATGCAAATGCAATCGATTAATTACTGTAGTTCCTAAAGTAAATTGTACTATTTAGAAATGTACAGAACTTCATTCAAGCATTTATTTATGTTATTTTCTAAACGATAACTTTATTTTTACATAATATATACAAGTATGTACTATTATTGTATTTTCCATATCTATATAACCACGTAATATAAATGATAAGATATCTATAAAACAGAATTAAAACTTCAGTAGTTTAAATGAGCAAGAATTACGTATAATAATTGAAAAAAAATTGGAAAAAATAATATTGAAGATATAGTAATCTATATTTGATTGATACTTGTTTTCGTCCCCTACATTTTAATTTTAAAACTAATTTTCCTACAGGGTTACATGGATGAACCCGTGTCGAAAATATTGACCAACTTGGAAGAAAGCGAAACAATCCGGTTGGACCGCTGGAACTTGGAAGTAGTGCCCAATGAACACGTCAAGGGAACGGACCACGCTGGGAAAGACAATTTACCATTAAATGTGATGAATAATTACTTCTCATTGGGAGTGGACGCTCAAATTGCGCTTGAATTCCACGAAGCCAGAGGTAATGGTGATGATATATATCTCGATTACGTTCTCTTTTGTGGAAAATGGCTTGTCAAAATAACCTCTTCAATCACCCACCGACTCTATACAAAAAATATCTGTTAATTTCCGTTTAAAATGAGTAACCGCTGTATCCCCTCTCCCCCCCCCCATGGCTTTCACGTTTTGTACAATATGATGCTATTTCACACATATTATTATTTTTATCTCGCTGTCGTTTCATAAATGATCTTATCATTTTGTTTTATTAATTGAAAAACACGTACCCAAAGGCAGGCATCAAATAATTAAACAATCAATTTTTTTTTTAACTTTTTAAAAGACTTAACATTTACCAGTGAATTTTAATTAAAAGATATTAAGTTAAAATCATGTTTGTAGATATCAATAATATTTAACTGAAATCTAAATCATTTTATTAATTAACTATTGTTTTGTTTCTTCATTTAGTACCTATAGGTAAATAATTATTTTAAATGTAAACAAATAATAAATAGTACTTAGATTATTAATATTAGTATTTTATTCATTTATAATTGCCTAAATTTCTACAGTTAGTGTGTAACAAGAAGAATATACTACTCGTTCAAATCTCTTCAATAGATAAATATAGAATGTATTAACAAAATATTTTGTGATTATTAAAAAAAAAAATCAAAGTTTCACAATCCTTATATTTTTATGACTCAGGCGATAATAAAAATAAAAAATAAAATATCTTTTTTTTAACCAATTTAAGTTGATATTTTTCTTCATAACATTATTAACTTTAGGCTTTTAAAACAGTGGTGTCCTACTTTTTTTTATAACGGGCCAAATTTCTCTTTACCGTTGCGGACCATAATTATTTAAAAATTTTTTGTAAGAAATAAATAAATAAAAAATAAATATATTATTTTCAAAACATTAATTAGCTTGTCCCGGAATTTACCCGCGGATCGTAGATTGGAGGCTCCTGTTTTAAAGTAAAATATATGGTTATTTAACTGTTAACTTAAAGCATAACTTTTTATTATGTTAAATCAACTCAACTGTTTAAGTTAATTATTTCCATTAACTTACATGCCTTTGAATAAATCATTGGATATTATAGTTATTAAAAACGGATTTAATAATATTAGAAAAAAATGCATAAACACACGTTTACGTACTCATTCCAGAGGCCAACCCGGAAAAATTTAGCTCACGAATGTACAACAAACTGTTTTACGGCGTCAGAGGTGGTATTGAGTTATTGGATCGAAAGTGGAAAGGATTATCGGATCACGTGATGTTGGAGTGTGACGGCAAAGATCTGACGCAACGCATAAAAGACTTGAAAGTGCATGCCATATTGTTTTTAAACATACCCAGCTATGGGGGTGGCACACGACCGTGGAACAAGTCAGCTGGCAACAATTCTACCGATGACGGGCTCATCGAAGTCATCGGCTTAACAATCATGCAAATAGTGAGTGTTTCCGTGTTTAAATAACATAATATTAAATTCATCTATTCTCAAACGGTTATTTACTTACTTTCCGGTAATACACGTTCCACTTGTAGAAAAATTGATTTTTAATTAACGTTACGAGTATGCATGTAATCGTACACTATACGCTCGTTTTTGTCTACAATATTTTCCAATTATATAATATCTAAGCAAATTAATGATACACGTAACAGAATACTAACGATACGTAGTCTCAGTGGTAATATAGATACTAAACACAACTGTCAGATGGTCCTTTTTGCGTTATATATTGTATTCAATATCGATGAAATTGTATAAACGACATTTATTGAAATTTTTGTTTATAAATAAACAAATCGTTTTCCAAACTTAGTTTGGTTCATTGTTTTGAACTAATATTCAATGCTTCACGACGTAACTTTGCAAGTAGAGCGAAGAAACAACGACAATAATATATACGTTGAACACAATTCGTTTTGGTGCGATGTATTAACAGTTTCAGTTGTCTCAGGCATAAGAGACAAAATCGGCGTACACTATTACCATTAATAATAACTAAATGAATGAGCACTGTCTATACCTATTACACAAAAAGTTGTATGGCCGAAGAAAGAGCTAAATACCATAGTAGTTAACCGTTATAATGATCTCAGTGAAAGTTTCTAAAGATAAAATTGATAGTATTTTTTTGTTGATGTTAGTAATTGATAACCATATTTCAATCTCACTCTTACTATCTCTCTCTTGAGTCACATATTATGTGTGGGTAAGCCTCATATAGTTCTTTATTAATCATAATTATTGTGACTCGTTTTATCTCAACATAAATTAAAATACCTTTTCAACTTCGATAACCGTAATATAAAGTGTACCAGTATATGGTCTTACAACTACCAATATTGCGTCGTCGAAAGTAACCATGGCCATTTCTGTACTGTCTAGACGAGATTGCAAACTGGAGGGACTGGGACACCACTGTGCCAATGTAAAACTGCTCGCATAACTACTAGTATACCGGTGCCTATGCAAGTGGATGGTGAAGCTTGTCGTTTAAAACCGTCAGTGATCACGCTAGGATTCTTCAACCAGGCAACAATGATGTCGAAACGTCGGAAAGGCAGACAGACACCTACCCGGTAAGTAGACAGCTGGTCAGATTTAAATAATCGACTGTAGACACCGTTAACGTAATAATTACGATAATATTGTTAGTTTTATCTTTTTTTTTTTTTTAGTGAGACCACGATAGACAAACATAAAGTCTCTGTCCAAAGACTGAGGCTTCAAGATTATGAGCAACACCACTGTGACAAAGAGCTGCTCATCCAGTCATGTGAGTAAACATTTTCAATTGTATTTATAGTTAAAGAAAATTTTTAATATTTGTTTGTATAACTATTTATAACTTGTAAACGTTATTTTTTAAATATTTTTAATACTTGCTACTGCAAATATTACTGTATTACAAGTATTTTATTTTATTCCATTATTCTTGATTATTTTAATAATGCATAATATTCTGAATGTCTACTATTTTTTTTTTATAAATTCTGTGAATAGTTGTGTATAAAAAGTAACTTATACGTAAGTTATTTATACTAGGTTGTTGTTTCGATGATTTCAGCGATCAATATGGGTGAGATAGAAGTGGAACCGGTCGCGGATTTAGAAACTGTCCGTAAGTTAGTCGACAAGTTGGAGTTAAACAGCAGTCCATCAAAAGACCACGCGGGCAACGCCATGCCGAAATTATCACCCGACTGGTGTTTCGTCGACTGTACGTATTATAACACGATTGTAACAAGATATGATAATAAGTTGTAATAATAAAATTATACTTGTAGCAACTAACAGTGTCTAAAATAATGAAAATATGCCTGACATAATATATAACTGCACACAGGTTGTACGGCCGAACGGTTCTTCAGGATCGACCGAGCCCAGGAAAGCCTTCACTATCTCATAGATATCACACACGATCAACTTTTCGTGTTGGATGATCCACATAGACCACTGTCCACCGAAGAAGATGTGACCGTAGTACTAAAATCTAAAGAATCGGCCGACGACCAAGGAGCTCACGACACAACAACGAGGTCAGTATAGAATATATGTTATATTTTGCTTTAATGATCCACCGAGGTCAGGTAAGTGGAGCATCGTTTTTAAAAGGTTACTATTGTTATTGGTTTTTAAAGCATGCGTGTAAAGTCGGAGATAAATCGATTGGAAAACATCAAAACACATTCTACGGTCAAATGTCCACAAGACGAAGGCCAGACCAATGGGACCAATCATTCCACAAGAGCTAGGTACACATTAGGTCTTATAATATTATTATCATCGAAACTTTCTCGATTCAATAATTATTATTGTATCTTACACAGTACATTTGTTTTAATTCAATTTCACGTCTTTAATATTACCCCTTGACGTAATCATTTTCATATATAATTCTTATTAACGAATTTAACAATGCATTAGATAAATGGTACATGCTTAACGATTAACAACTTTAATTGTATTGAAAATCCTATAACAATAATATTTGTTTTCACATAAATATATTCAAACAAAATATTATATTAAAATAAACTTATCGATGTAAAACTTTTGAACTTAAGACGATAGTACGAAACCGTTGTATCTAACTTGATGAACAGTGATTTCATACCTCAAAAACAAAAGTACTTAAGTGAATTAAAAATATTATTTTTAACATAAAAACATAAAATTTAACAATGCACGTTACATTCTTACATTTTTTTATAATTTTGCATGTTCGCTTAGTGAAGTATACAATCGTCTATTTGACCTACAATCAAATGAAGATCAGTAAGTACACTTAATTAATAAGGCCACGATCTTACAAAAATTACAAAAAAGATTCGATATTTAAATAACAAAAAAAAGAATATATATGTATAGTTTTGTTTTAATTTTACATTATACATTTTTAACGTTAAGTGTGAATAAACAAAAAATAATATATATGCCAGGTATTCAGTGAATCTTTTTTGTAAGAATTTCATTATTCTTAATAAGAGTTGTCATTTTGTTTGCAGTCATTACGGTCAAGTGCGAACTTCCGATAAAATAATCGAAGCGGCTAAAACAGGGAACTTAAACATGGTAATGTACAGAAACACATATTTAATCGTTGCATCTTTGTTTTATAAAAATATGCCATTATTTTTCTACGAAATCCTGGTACAGGGTTTCCGCACGCCGTATAATATAAATAATATAATATATAAACCATTAATTTATTTCATTACTTACGTACCAAACTACAGTAACTATATATTTTATTCAACCTGTTAGCTTTCATATATTATGATTTTTGTTTAAAACTAATTTACACGTTCCCCTTGTATTTTTTTTCCACCGATAACGTCATATGTAGTGGGTATGAACTGATTGTATGTCCGTGCTCCACGGTACGATATTCACTTTGCCATTTCTTGAACATTTTGTTAATTTTCGTTTTTTAGCTGAGAAATCTATTCGAAATGGGTTACTCTCTGATGTCCATCAACAAGGAAGGGCAGACAGCTCTACATGTGGCTAGTCAGCGTGGCGATTCGAACCTGGTTCGATACATACTGGCTAATGCGCCGTCCAATATCGTGTCTGTCAAAGACAATCAAGAGTAAGTTAATACATATTACTTAGTGCTAGATACCCAACACTTTGACTAGTAACTACATCTATAACACATTACGTAATTTAAAAATAGTAAAATTATGTTGGCATTTTAATCAAATAACGAAAATGTAATGAAAATTATTTTTGACAAGTATTTTTTTTATTTTTTTTTATGTTACGTGAAAAGTAAAAAGTTACGTTTCTTACACAAAAGTAATGTAATTTTATTTGAGTATTGGTTTAAATAACTTCATTACTATTATACTATTATTTATAATTAACAGTAGTAAATTAACTTAACTAACGTTGTCCGTACTACCTATAAATAATAATATAAATTATTTTATTGTTGTGATGTGGTGAGATGCAAAAGTATCAGGACATAAAAAAATCAAAAACATGTTTTACTTTAAAAAATATACAATAATCTACGTAACAATTAAATAATATTTAATCAGTGTTTTATGAAAAAAATTAAGTAATCAAAAACTCGTATGAAAGGTATTATAAAACATTCTGGATTATTTAATGAAAAAAAACTTGGACAGTTTTGTTTCACTTTCTGAGAGGTTTTGTTTAACCATCGGCAAAAATTGTCTTTTCTCTGTTAGCACGAACATATTGAACGCATGCACACACTTCTATTGCCTGTGGGTACTATTGGAGTAAATCCACCTTAGCTAATGTGGTTTCGTCGTACCTACGTGCGCACGTGACACGTGTACGCCACAGTAACCACCTCTACGCCGCTGCAGTCGTTCGTTTACCTAATATAATATTATATTCTCTCGTTCAATCGTATTCGCGTAATCCTGACTACACGATTTGGTTTTTACCACGATAAAATAAAAATAATAAAACACGTTACCGCGTAATATGAATTCAGTTTGATCTCTTTAGACTTCACGAAAAAATACCGTAACAATTAGGATTTTGATCATTCGCATTATTCTTTTGGTGATAAATGATGATATTATTATTTTATTATATTTATCGCCAGTTCGTAAACATATATTAGCTAGGTACATCTAAATCTGCTATCATCTATTTCATTAGCTTTGAGGCTTGACACCCACGGAGCTTAGAGTCTACAAGCCAAATCGACTGCTTTATAATTAAACATATTATTCTTTGGTCAGAAAACCCCAAATAGCGATTCCTAGAATATCCAACCCAACGTTGAATAATATTTTATGGTCATTGAAAATCAGTAAAACTGCATCATCAAATTGCTGTTACAGTCGTAGCGTACTTATGTATGAAGATAATGATAGCCCGGTATATTATACTTAGCACAGCTCTCGATGTACGCCCTTAAACGTAAAAGTAATAATAACAATAATCTCTGTCGTAAATAATATTTCCAATATAGTAAAAAATATAAATACAAAATATAAGTTACTACTATTATATTACAAAATCAAAAGAAAACATATCAATAGATACATACAAGGAGATCTGAATATCTTCTCATTAAATGTATCCGGTGTATGTCCTATTATGAAACTAAATAAAGAGGATTTCATGTTTATTTGATGTGTTTTCAAAGAAGAGCAAAAAAAGGTGATTCTTATAAATGTATGAAGTTAACTTCAGAAATTATAATATTATATTAAATTTATATACTTTCATTTTTATTCTATTAATGAAATTTTAATACATACATAGTTATAAAGTTTATAAAAATAGGAACTTATATTATAAAATAAGAATTCTTAAGACAGCTGGGATAAAATAAAATAATATATTAAGGAGATAAAAAAAGTTACGGATTGTTGAATAACGATTTAATTTAACCTTTCAAGAAGTTTTGAAAAATCACATTATTACAGTAAAATGGATCAAAACATAAAATATCATATCGTTATATTATTTTGAGAAGTATCCAACCGTTATAATTACGTCATCGCGTATTCTTGCAAAAATAACATGAGTACATTTAATTTAATTTTTTTTTTTTTATATAGATATTATTTGTAATTATTTTCACTACAAACGTGTGCTTAGGATAGCACCACTTAGGACGTTTAGGCTCTATTCGAACACAATTTTATCCTAAATAACCATTTAAAAATATTAAGAAAAAAGTACTGAAGTATTAAAATATAAACGTTTAACAATAAATGGCTCGTACTTAAAATATAGCTGTAATAACCATACGAATGATACTACACTAGAAGATAGAAACCTTTGAAAAAAAAAAACACATGTTTTGTACTTGATTTAATGTTTATGAATGCCCTAAACTGACCGATGTTCAAATCAGCTATCCGCGCGTACTCAAGTGTAAAATGGACAACATAACACTTTTAAGACGTTAGATTCACAAAAAAAAAAAAACAATATGATTTCGCTTGATGATAACTCGAGTCTACAAACATTTCGTATACGATTTTATATGATTATTTAAAATGAGCCTAAAATGGCACGGTTTAACTATCAGTAGGAGGCCAATATGACAAAGATAGGATGAATTTCCGGCATTTAAATTTTTTTATTCAAATGGTTTATCACTCGACTTAGTTTTTTTAATAAGAATGATTTCAACCTCACAATTAATTATGTACATATTTATATGAAAAACACTAGTCGAATTTTTATTAAGGAAATCACCTATATTTTTATAGTATTTATGTTTAAACTGCGAAGTTCAAACATAAAACTTAAAACTTTTCACTGATTACATTTAAAGTGAATATTTTATACATAATACATTATAGTATTATACTGTTATACATTGTACAATTTGCCTATAGCTATTCTGAGGGTCGTAATTGATGGGGCGCATTAAAGGCACTCTCCAACCTCACATATTTTAAAATTTAAAGAAACAAAATAAACTATAATTATATGAATTCTAGAACTATATATTAAATATATACAGTGAAACCTCTCTTAACGGACACCTCCAAGTAGCGAATGTTTTTATGGGAACAGGGACATTTTCACTACTTTTATATAGGAAAACCTCTAAATACCAGACACTCTAAATAACGGACAGTGTTATGGCAATTTAATTTTTGATTTTGACGATTTTTATCGTAAATGTTGAATAATCGTGGAATGCCTCAATAAATATCTATCTTACTATCTTATATAATCTGACTATTATTCATTATTATACTATGTACAATTGTAGTTTATCTAATCCGTCCGTTATCGCGTCGATAAAAACATTTTTCATACGATTTTTCAACAGTTTATATTCTTCTATCGATATACAGAACACTTCACTGTTCTCCAACGCAGTCGAATTAGAAAATGCCTTGATACTTGAAATGACTATGCATCAAGGGCTTAAACAAGCTAAAGTAACTGATTTTTTCAATAAATGTTAATTTTTGTTTACATTTTCATTAATTTTTACATAGATAATAATATCATAACTTTAAATAATACATAATATGTATAATAAATATTTGTATTAAAATAATAAAAATAATATACATTATATCATTATTATACATATTGCATATACATATAAATAATGTTGTACATAGTTATTAATTTATGCAAGTTATTTCCCCCCTCTGAATAGCGGACACCTCTAAATAACGGACAAAATTAAGGCGACCGAGAGTGTCCGGTATTTAGAGGTTTTACTGTATATATATTATCGATTTCTTAAAATATAAACTTGGTTTTAAGAAATAAAAACAGATCATAACCGCACAATCAAGGTTAAGTTGTGCTGCATTGTATATAGAATGATTACATATTTTTATTCCTCACAAATTCACAAAAAGTCTGTATCAATGAAACTTTTATTTCAAAGTCATTCCAATAGTTTCAAAGATGAACTAACAAAACTCAATTACAAATGTATTAGTTGTTAATTTATATACCTAGTTAGATAAATAATCAATTAAAGCATTTTTGATTCTTTTTTACTTGCTTACTTGCGTATAGAGGGCAGACGGCGCTGCACGTGGCTGTCCAAAACGGTGAACGAAAGATCTGTTACCTATTGGTGTCGGCCGGGGCGCCGTTATTGGCCGTCGACAGACAAGACCGGACGGCTCAACAGATAGCCGAACAGACCAGAGACTACGATCTCGCCAAATACTTGGAATGTAAGTACCTAAGTACCTCTATGTATTTATATATTGTGTAGACAGTGATAAAGTCGCGTAAATTATCCCAAATACACCTCACCCGGCCCCGATGACTTGGAACGAAAACCACCCGTCAATATGGAGTCAAACCATCGAGGTTAGGTATTCACTTGGTTCGCAAGATTATTTTTTAACCCATTCCAGCACAATTCCGTACATTATTATTTAGACCTATGGACTTTAACTAGGGACAGTGTACGTTTCAATGATACATATCAATATTACCGTGGTGTACACATGACTAAAACATATTCCAAATCATTAACAATTACTATTAGAAAATTGTGACATTTCTTTCAATTTTTTTTAGACAGAAGACGAAACGACGAGTTTGCTTAAGGACTAAGGAAATACTAAAACCGATACGGTCTGTATCTGTCTAAAAAATAAAACAAATATAGTGTATCATAGTAAAAACTATAAAAAGTACTAATAATAATACGATCCCGACGCTTAAGTCCTTCATCCGTAGCCTATTACGCTTATATACTATACGGACGACAATAATGACACATTATATTATTATACTCGATCGTAAATCCACATGAAAAATAGCAAATATAAAGAAAACGTTAAGTTCAAAACGTTTACAATACAATTTGAGAACTACTTATTTTGGTAACTACTTGAACTGTTACTGCATGCAATATTCGATTTTTTATATTCCTGGCGTCCCAAGAAACCTATTATTCTCACTACGTCCAAAAACCCTTAGTTTATACATCATATTATATTTTGCATAATTTGACCGTATTGGCAGTAGGACTATTAGAAGAGCTACACTAGTCTAATACTAGTAAAGTAATTTTGTTGTTTATTAATTATGTAATATCATTATGTTATATTATTAAAATATTATCATAAACGTAATATGACTAAGTTTTGTCGTTAACTTATTCTTAACCTTAGTTTGTCTGTAATATGATTATCCTGTAAATTATGTCTAAAGGATGATTCTTTTATCATTAACAATTATTTTCTCGGAAAATGCATATTGTTTTAATAATATATTTTTTATACTTATTTTTAAATCATTTTGATAGTATACATTTTAAGTTTTAGTGTTTTTGTCATTTTTTTTATTATCATGATATATTTTAATTTCGTACATAATTAAAAACATTAATTTTTTTAGAAAAATATTTTGATTTGGGACGAGACATTTTAAAATGTAATAAAAATATGTTAAAATAATTCAAAATTATGTAAATAAAATATTTTTGAAAACATAAAAATGTAGGTATTACAAAAATGATTGTATAATTAGAACAGGACTGTAGTCTAATATTATGTTTATAAAATAAGCTATTATGATAAATTTATGATACTATATCCTATTTATGATAAAAACTTTTTAAAATATTAAATTTTTCATCATCAATCACCACGAACCTTAAATCATAACCAAAACAACACGATTTAATTAGATCCTCCCACGTAGACTTAAAATAAAATGGATAGTGTTTTGATTTATTATAGTAAAATTGCATAGATGTAGGTATCACTAATGAGGTGACTACTATTCTTATATCTTTTAGTAAATATTAAATATAGTAATATCAATATCAGTTTAAAAAAAATAGATCTAAACACGTGAGGTTAGAACATAGTTGCGTCATTCTCGTCGACTACGAATTTATAAGAGATCATAATAACGGAAATAAAAAAGCTCACGACGTCTTAATATTATATAATAATAATGTCAGTAGAGACAAAAAATATAAGAAACAAAATAAAATAAATAGAGCATACATTCGCAGCACACGTATGCTAGTAATAGTGTGTGCGCAAAATTTTGTTTAGGCTTTATTCACGCGCGATACATCTTTATTAAAATATACCTCGTCAGAAATAATTTTTTTCTTTTTCTTGAGTGCATTGAAGCTCGATGTGGTTTTTTTGTTTAAGTGTGTATGTGTACGGACGTTCATTGTTCGGAAAAAAACAAAAAGTTTATGAGTAGCTCTTTTATCCTGAACTTTTGTGTTTTAAAGATCGACTGTAAAAATACGGGCGTCGAGAACAATGCATGTATCTTATATATTATGTATAAAAAAAAAAAAACAATAACAAAAAAACGAATTGCTGTGACGCTTTCGTTTAAAACAAAAATATACGTTTTTGTTCAATTTTGGTAGTCAAATAGAAACCAACACGTCTTACATACTCGCGCCGTTTTATAATATTCTATCCGTTGGGCATTACTTACGCGCGTATGGTACACACAAATACATAACGGCATTAGGTAAGATACAGCAATAATTATTATTATTGGTTTCACGACACAATTAAGAGATTAATCCACCAGAAACGCTTCTAACTTTGTCTAATAACTACTGGTAAAGCAAAGTCGCACAAGTACACTTTAAATCCGTACACCATTTGTTATTGTTGCGTTTGCGTATGACCAATAAAATTAATGAAATATAAACATTAAATACGAATAAATAATAATTATATATTTGTTGAGCAATTATCCGAAAACCCCTGGAGTTCAGCATTGCTTTTTAAATTGATCTACAGTAAATATGTGTCGCCCTATTGCAAAACTATAATAATAATAAAAAATTAATTGAATTCATTTTTTTTTTATAATCTATAGTACATTTATTATATTATATATATATATATATATATTGTTCATAATGTTCATATGTGTACAATATTTAATCTTATATTTAGTCAATATCTCTTATACTCTGCGATTGAAAATAAAAGCTACCTCTAAACATTTAGTTATTATTTTTAGACTAATAAAAATCACCAATTTACTTAGATTGAGTATAATAAATTACTAGTACGGACGCTAATATTATGTTTAAAAAAATGAATACTTTTTTTGTGTGAATTTCAAATTTTACCAAGTTCTTTTGTTATTGTACACCTTATAAATTATGCTAAAAATTCTAGCTTTTAAATTCCAGCACCCCATTTATTGTTTTATCAAATCTAAAATTATAATTTTTTTTCTATGTATATTTTATTAATTATTATTTATAATACACTTGTTTAAAGTTTATTAAATGCGAAAAGTATGCGTTTCGTTTTACCAAAGGTTTCAAATAACTTAATTCAAATGCTTACTTTATAATGAAATGGCGTCATACGATTCACTTATCCAATCCAATAACTTGTTTTAATTATCGTATTCGGTGACCTTTTTATTTTAATTGTACATGCATTATAATTCAAAATGAAATTTTAACTCATTCACATAGTTACACGAGTTAATGGTCGTTAGTAATTGTTTTTTTATTCAGAAATTTTTTTAATTAATTTCAGATTCGATCACAACTTATGTTGTTCTACATTATTTTACAGCCAATCCTAACAAATTTGCTACTGAATTACTCACGGCCATTCCTAACTAAGTTGAAAGTATAATGTATTGGCGGGGTGCATCGAATAAATTGTTGACCTGCAAGGTGTTACAAAAGCTTAACCGACATTAAAATTAAAATTAGTTTTAAACAATGCGCATTTGAATCGTCGACGAATATTGATTCGAAAATTAATTGTGCCTGAATAATAGTTATTAAAAATTAAATAACCGTTAGTTTAAAACTTTAGCACCCCTTTATTATATATATATATATGATATGGGACAAAATTCACCAATATAAAATTAAATTCCTACGTTCGTGACAATTTCGCATTCCATAACTCCCCGCGAATCCTATTCAGAAAATCGACAATGGACTAAATATTGATAAATAAAATATCCTACGGCATACAATATTTTATAGTTACGTGATTTTATAAATCAATCTCGCCTATAGTCGAACTTACAAATACATACAAATTAAGTTTTCTAAGTTAAATTGTATAGGTCTTAGAAACTTATGACCTGCGTTCATAAACTAACACAATAGAAACGATATTATAACAACGTATTATAAGGTTTAATCTTATGACTAAATATTAATATAATTATACAGTATACTATCACTTGAGTAACCTTGTTTTTGAGTGTAGTATTTTAAAGATCACAGGTATAGCAGAGTACGAGTTGAAGCGATTGAATTGTTATTATGATTTATCTATAAAGTAGGTTATTATACCTATAGTAAATCAAATTAAATATGTTACTTAATAATATAGAGTTGACTGTTATCTCTATTTCACGAACAAAACTCGGCTGATTAGCTATATCAATGATTTGCATACACTCGTATTCTACGTTCATGTATTCTTCTGACCTAAGCAAAAATCGCAGATAGCGGCATAAAATGACGCGTCAGTAATATGTATATTATAAAAGCACGATGTTCTTTAACATCATCATGTAGACGTGAATTTTTTTTTTATTTATTTTTTTGCATTTGCATTTGCGTTTGCTAGCTACATCGCATAACGTAGGTATAGTCGTATCAAATGAAACGATGCGTAATACACTGGAAAAAAAATCGAAAACGATTATCATCGTGATGACATAATATTATTAAGAATATTGGAATCCAGCAAAAATAATAGGTACATATTATTAGCCATTAAGTCTCCATTAGTATGATTTGATCGAAGGTTTTATTTTTTTATTTTACTTAAATATATTTTAAAGTCTTGATAATCAATTCCTCTCGAATATTCTCTAAAATAGTAAAATAAATTACTCATCATATTATATTATGACATTATTTAAATTGTAAGATATAATTACTAAAATATAGCATCACTTAATAAAGTATAGAAATTCCCGAAATAATTTATATCATATTAAAAGTAGCTCGAGGTAAATAATTACACGTGCGCATCACCAAGGATTTTAACTGTCAAAAATTAATATGAATGTTATCATAATTATTATAAAACTGTAGTTAATTTTTAATTAGTTTGTTAGTTAATTGATGTTATTATAAAAAAACGTTACTTTTAGATATTTAAAATACTAATAATAATTCTGATTTTTCTTCATCAATAATATATATTATTTATGAAATAAATGCAGTTCAAATAATTTCCCTTTTCTGTCCAAAATTCAATTTGATAAAAATAAGCGCAATACAATATGATCCTCGACATCTATTATACAACAGAACAATTTCCCTGATTTTTTTTTTTAACAAATAATAAAAATAGAATAATTCAATACATTTAAATATTGTCATCTTTATCACATTATATACACGCACTTGGATTTTTATATATATATTTTTTCTTTTTTTTGTAGTTCAAATATAGTACTTTTTCGCGCAAAACAATTTATTTTTTTAATTTTAACTTCTTGTAATTACACAACAGCTAACAATAGTACTAACGTGAGGACTGAGAACTACTTGTTAGTTGTTTGGAGTTGGTATTTAAATATAATTAAGTAATTACAATTTTTTTCAAAATTTCATTAACCTGGCCTTAGTAGTGTGATGAGATATTTGTCACTTCAATATTTTTTTGAAAACCCCTATCTAATCAATTTTTTATAATATGTTATATCGTATATGACACAATTCATGTATTCTATATGTGTACAATGAATACATGTGTTTTTATAGTTGAGACTATTTTTCACTATTAGACCAATGAAATATAAAAAATTAAACGTGACCTACAACGAGCTTAAATTGGCTGAATTAAATCTCTTTAAAAGTTGATGTGTAGCCTTCTCTTAGTAATAAAAATCGTTTTGCGCCTTTATAGACCATTAGCAAAGTGTATTTTCGAGTTTCCGAACAGACTTTGAGAATGATCTCAGTGCTATATTAACTTTTAATGAGTACGAAATCAAAAACTCTACATTAACATGGCTCTATCTAAAGAAATTTGACATTTTTAGAAAACAGAGCTAGAATAAAATAAAGTAATCATACTCGTCACTTTACTAATAAATATTTGTAGAATAAAAAAATTTTAAAAATTCTATTGATAGTAGAGACGAGTAATGTGCGTATTCAAAAATCGAATAGGAAGGTACTCAACGTTTTACGATTTCTAATTGTACCTATACTTACAACCGGAGTTTCAATAACCAAGCTCTTGATAAATTTTTAAAAAAATGTATAGGTATGTGTTTCTGAATGTATTTTTATGTTAATAAAAATTATCATATAGTGTTTTTATTTAATGTTACACGAAATTTCCTTAAAAATACCGCAATCGTATAACATATTCAATACAGGAAATGGGTTTTCGCGATTTGTCCGCAACTAACATATTTTATAAAATATCATTATCATAGTTTTTGTACGGAAATCTCAGTGAAATCCTATATAAGTTGTCATATTATTTTAAATTAATTTATATTTTTTTTTTTTTTTTACGACTAATATCCCGTATAATATTATGGACGTGCCGTTAATGTGGTGTTAGGCTTGTTTCACGACTATTATGCGAGAGTAATCTACTTTCTCGATCCCGGTCACACCACCTGGAAAAGTTTACGCGAACATTAAACATCTTCGGAAGAACATGCTGCACAATAATAATGGTCTCGCGAAAATTCCTACCCGTTTAACCATACGGAACAAATCATGTAGGTATAATATTCCCTTAGATAAACTTCTATACAGTACCCCACGTGTACGCGCTACTGGTGTATTATTATGGTCGTTATGGACATAATACGCATACGGTCAATTCAGTAATACCGTTGAACAAAATATGTATATCGAAGAAACGAAAGAGTTTCAACATAAAAATAAAATCTGTCACGTTGTAATGACTTTTCTTCAAGCTTATTATAATTTATTATATTTCCTACACGACTACGATATTATATTATTACATACGTAAGTACCTATGATATTAGAACGCCGTCTCCTTTTCCGAATTTTATACGGCTAAGACTCCTTAAATCATAAGACCGTTTTTGACACACACCGTGTTAACATACTAATTTTCGATGAATCGTTATTGGGTCAATGACGATAACTGATTAAAATTTCGTTTTTGGGACGACGAAGAAAAAAGAAACAATTCGTTTTACGCTTATAAAAACTAAGTATATTAAGTTATCTGGGTTATTAATTTACTATATTATTTAAATGAATTGATTAAATTTTGTTTTTAAAATATAAGATTTGCAATTAATAAGTTAATTAAAAACTTAATTGTGGCCTAGTGTGGAGCAATGGTTGGTCTCGGTCATTAATGTGTTCTGAGGTCAAGTATTGGCTGGCGTCGCTAGTTCTCGGATGGGTGACCACCCGAGTTTTTAGTGACGAATCCATGGCACACACACATGCATCTACGTATTCTAACCCTACCAACCAAACCTCACACAAAATACCTACTGTTCCTATGCACAACTAATGGCCTTAGTTTTCGGGCTCAAATAAGATCAATAAAAAAAAAAAAAAAAAAACTTAATTTATAAGTTTGAATTTACTTATAAAAACCATAGATTTGATTTTAATTTTAGATAGAGAGAATATCTAAATGCATCATAATTTCTATCGAGTAACCTGTTAATTATATTACGTTATTGATAATTAAGCACTGTGATAAAATTTTAATATCTTCAATGGTTTATAATGTACATAATAAAATTACTTTTATACTTTAAGCGTTTTTCTCATCTATTCTATTTAATTAATTTATTATTTTGCCCTACACCTGGACACTACACCACGCCCCACAGATCTAATTGGCTACTGCGCGACACTGGTTACAAAAATATGAAATGGAATATGTTCCATTTGTATTATTTATCAATATTATTATGATAAAATTGGTGACACCACACTGTCAAAGCTAATGGTGTCATTTGTCTTCACTTGTGTAAATATTTTAATGTACACTGCACCATTATAATATGGAATCCGTGTTATAATATACTGCACCGACGGTTCTAAATAGTATTACACTCGTGCAGTCGGATGAAAAACATTATAGGTACAAGGTATATGTTTATAAACAAAAATGATGATTGGTGGAACTGATATTATTTTATTTGTTATGTTTTGACTTTTGGTATCGACAAGTGAGAAATATTATGTTTCATAGTAATTTTGAGTATAATTCTTATATTGTTATTTTTTCGAACATGTATAATTAAAATTCTAAACCCTAAAAGTTGTGAAAATAGTTGAAAGATGGGATAAAGGAGTATTAGTACTTTAATACTCCCTTGAAACTATTTAATGAATAAAATGATTTACATTATTAAAATAAATCTGATAACAAAATCGTATTAATTATAAATTAAACGTTCTAAACAGTACTCCATTACCAGAAACGGTTGACCAAAATATTCGTGTCTTGGAAACAGAAGAACGAATCCAGGTTATTCCAAACTACTGACGATATTTTAGTATTTATACATTGTTTTAAATCTATGCGAAAATGTCAATTCTGAATTCAGTTAAAATTATTATAAGACTAACTCCTCTCTACGTAAAAAAAAAAACAAGTGTAATAATTATTACAAAAAAAACTGAAAATCATTTGTCACGTTACGTATTATATATCATATATAACATTACGTATTACGTTACCATATTAATCGATTTTGTTAAACGGAATTATCTGTTTCAGGCCAAGCTCAGTTCGTATCGTTTGCAGACCAAACGGAAACATCAGTTTAGACTGCGGCTGCGTTTGAATTAGTCAGCAAAACAAACATAAAATACTATCACTAAATTCTATACATTTTAAATTTATATAACTATTATTATTATTATTATTATTATCATTGTAATTATTATTGTTATTAATTGATCATATTTGTATTCACTATCCGTCGATGCGCACGTCGTTTTTGATAGTCTTGGCGAAATCGATAAGAATAAGAAAAAAATATAAAAAGCACACTATAAGTCAATTAGAAAAAAATCGTATTTTACGCCGTCGTATACGTTTTTCCCATATTCGCTCTCTAAACCCTCTTCGCAGACGTTGTATACACCTCCTACATAGATATAATATTATACGCTCCTTTTCGACTGCGTTTATCGCATTACACGTTTGAACGATTACTTTATTTTTATTTTTTTTCCATTTAACGCTTTAGTGCATTATATTCGTCGCAACGACTAAGTACACACGTCCCGCAAGTTTTCTTGAAACCGAATTATTACATTTGGCGTGGTCACGCCCACGTCACTACACGAAAACTACAACGAAGAAATGCGACGGATCGTGACCAAAAATAATAAAATGTACAGACGTACATACAATAATGTATTACACCCCGTTACGCGCATTTTGCAACAATATACTAATTACGCATTTGGAATCCCGTACGCAGATCAGATGGGCAAAAGATGCATGGAAAAAAATTACTGAATACATCATAATAATATTATCTACTGTAAACACATCAATGTTTTCATTCTAAAGTCTAGGTAAACAAAATATACAAAGAAAATTCAACGTTAATTAGAAAAGACTAAATTAATTTTTTTTTTTTTTTTTAAATAATTATTTTGGTAAGTAAAACCGTTAAACCGCATTGCATATTAACTTGCTAGGTATAACCTTTAAGTATCTAATTACATTAGATGTAATAAAATACTTCGTTATTATTGTTTAACTCAGTACACAATTAAGCGTATGTATCACTATTGAGATAATAATAAAACGTCTTCGTCGGAACTCATTTTCATAAATTATTAATTCGTTTTGTTGAATAAAAAAAAATAATAATAATTATGTATCTTAGATAAGACCCATCTCTGATGTGTACTTACATAATATTATAATTGCTTTTCGTCAAAATGTTCCGATTTTTTTCGTCGGTCTCGTTTCGTAATTTCCGTGAAAATCTGGTGTGCGACGATTTGTCGGGATACTGGAATAACGTCGTCGTAGCGATCCGCTCTCGTACACGGTGATGGCGGCGGTCTACTCTATTAATTCTTGAACGCGAACTCGCAACGCATCGGCCCCGATATTATTTTCGCCCGATGAACATCCGGACAATCGTTTCACGTCGGTTTCGCGTATCTTCCCGTCGAACGCACGAACGATGGGAAGAAATTTGACACGGCTATAAGAGATGCTGGAACTTCCGACCACTGCGATTTCAACTGATCTGATGAGGATAATAATAATATCAATATAGGACAGCAGGTACTATATGATACGTGAGAGATATATGACGTGTAATAATCAATGCGCGAGACGTGTGCAGCAAATCAACCTTAACGACGTATTATTACACCGATACGATATGGGAATATTATTATGAATATATTATTATCAAACGGTTCATCTAGCGGGGTAAACATTGTCCTCTCGAGTGTGCGTTCGTCTTCTCGCCATCATTTGTCTCGCGAGAGAGGGTCTCCGGCACGCTCGCCGCCTTTGTACTTCGCGTACCGTAGAGATTCGGTGCCTCCGGCGATTTTGCGTCTTTCCGTCTGGGCCGGCGGCTGCCCATGTCGTAGTTTAGTTCTTTATAAATTATATATATAAAATTCTTCTCCGCCTACGCATAACCACACCACGTCAACCGCGTATAACGGCTCCTGCAGGCACGTCGACGAAATAACAACGCTGCAGGCGACGAGTGTATAAAAACAGTCTGCGCTTTCTCGTTTTGAACTCGAAAAAACTATTCCACGAATGTCCCCGGAGGCCATTGAATAATAATTACGTTATAAAAACACCTGTACGGTACAACGGTATCTACCCGCCGTGCGTCCGTCCTCGTCGAAAATGTCGTTTTTGTCGGTCGCAAAAATGGCGGAGGTTGCGCGCGCGGAAAAGGCCGCGATGACGACGACAATCGTGATCGTGATGATGATGAGGATGATGATAATAATACGCAGACCGCAATATTTTAATTTTTAACCACTTCTGGTGTTGACGAACACTGTAATACGATCACGTTCACTCCCTAACTATGTGATAATATTGCAATAATAATACGTACCGGCTACCGCGTAAGCCGCGATGATAAATCCGAAATCGCCAGACCTATCATCGCGATATCGACGTCGAACGATGAATATTAATATATAATGTTTTTAAAAACTTAAAATACAGATAATATTTTTTAATTATTATATAACCACAAATATGCGCGGTCATATTGTTATTGTTGTTTGAATCGTCCAAAAGTCCACTCCGCCACCCGAAAGTGCTATTACTCGTCTCTGCGCATCTCCACCTTGTCATAACGCAAGTCGGCCATGACGTGCACGCATTTTTCGACTTGGCAAAGAAACGAGACTACCACTCGACGAACCGAGAGAGAAAAATTTTACGACCATAATATGACTTTAATAAAGTTTTACGGTTGTCTGTCATCCACGACGTTATTATTATTATTATTATTATTATTATTATTACTATTATTATTATCATATTTTAATGTACTTACCGTTTAACATGAGACGAAAATCCTAACAATTACATGACCTATTGTATATTATCCCGTCTTACAACAAGGCATATGGTAAATATTACATACAGAATAGTCCATTACTCCATTACAACGTTGAAAATCTTAATGTTTAAATAAATCAGTCTTCGTACACAATTTGTTGACAGTAAGAACATTATCCTGTAAGGCATCATGTAAGTTCTTTTTTTTAAATAAAATTTAAATTTTAAGCAAATTATGAGATAACATTTTAAAATTGCTAATTAAAAAAAAAATGCTCATAACTCGAATCGAAATTAAACTTAAATCTAAGCTGGGCAAAGGATAGCAGAGCTATAAATGGATTATTCTTAACATAAGATTTACCATAATACATTGTGCGTTTATAAGACACAACACATACAGGTATGACCATGACATTCCCTTGGAAAAAACGAATCTAGAAAATAAATAAGAAAATGTGCATGCTCACACAATTTCGTTTTTTAATTTTATTATAATATTGTTATTTATTTTTTTTTTTTGCACTTTAAAATAAGTTAGTAATTACTATATTAGAGCACTGTGAGGAAAACAATGTACTTTAAATTATTTATTTAAATAATATTATTGGTTCTAGTATTTATCATTAATAATTAATATACTCATTGGTACATATTATTATTATTAATATTACAATATAATATAATATATATTATTTTTTTGAAAACCTTAGGTTATTCTATTTTTAAACATTATAATTATATTATAAATGTTATTGAGTTCATATTATTTATAGAATATTATTATTATTATCTATGTATTTAAATATATTTATATAATATATTTAAAGTAATCGCCTTATTCGAAATTTTAGATTTAAGCCTTGATTACGATTCTTTTTGTCGTGAACTTATGAACACCAATACCACTGTTGTTACTATTTTATCGAGCTATTACTGTGATTTAATTTTGTTCTTTAAACCTCTGTTAACCTTAACCAACATCTTCTAAGTGACATTTGAATGTATATACATATTATTTCCATAATTTTTATTTTTTTTTTTCTAAAGCACTTATCGTTTGTATATATATATATATACGTATGTAATAAATAAATCGTTCAAACATTGAGTTACAAAAATGCTGAGGATGATATATTATTATAACATAATAATATGTACCTCACTATTTTTGAAAACGTTAACTCTAATGGCTCTATGTGTAATAAATAATTATTTAATCAAAAATTAGATTACCTACCTACGTATATATTATTATTATTATAATTATTATTAGATACTGTTGTTATTCGGTAGCTCTAGAGGTACCATGTTTTCGTTGATTTTGATTTACACCTGTACTAAATATTTGTAATGTTATTTTTATTGTTATTATTCGACAATCAAAACGATTATTATTTAGAATAATTGATATAGTAGCGGTAGTGATTTTTGTCTAGTTTTACGAGAGTTTATTATATTATTATACTGTTTATTTTTTTTTTTTTAAAAAAAAAAAAAATTATATTCACTTTGATAAAATACGTTTATTATTAGTTATTATATAAAAATATGATATACATACATGATAATTAAAAAAATATATATATTTATTGTGGTATTGTGGTATTCGTACCAATGTATACAATGATGTGAACGGTAAATCTTAGACAGTCTGAAATTACTATTTATTGTATAGAACCCCGATTTAATTATGATATTTATGTTTTATTCGGATTAACATTGTTTTATTAATTACCTATCTAGGTACCTACGCAATATATTATATTTTATATATACGATATACCTACTTAATATTAATAATTATATGATATTATATTATATGGTCGTTAACTGGCAATTTGACAAAAATAACACTTGTCGTTTCGTTAGTATTGTTCTTCGGAACAGGCGTAACTAATCCTTTAAGTTAGGGAGGGGGGTGGAGTCTTAACATTTTTTTATAGCAAAGTAAGGTACCTATGGGAAGATAACACAGTTATAAGTTTTAATTTATATGAATTATCTAGAAAAATTATAAGTAAAATTTAGATTAAATAATAATTAATAAAGCATAAACATTCTTTGTTTTACCTGAATACCATAAAAACATATAATGTATACCTCCTAATATAATAATTAATAATATTCAACATCAAAAATTGTACGTTTAAAAATAATTTTCATAAGTATTTTTAATAGAAGAAATTAACATTTCATTAGTTTTGTCTGGATTTGATTTTTTTTTCATGTTGAAAATACCTAAAAAAATCTTAGAAAAATCAGTTTTAAAGTCGTAATTTTTTTTTTATTATTATATTTAATAACTTTTAAATAACAAATTATTAACTCCGAATCTGTGAACTCTGAATTAAAATAGCATTATTTTATTTCAGTATCACCAATGCAGTCTCATTTTTCTTATAAAGTAAGTATATAATATATATGTGAACACATTGTACAAATTGTTTCTCCGGGATTTTTATAGCTTTATAAATTTTAAGTATAAATACAATAGCTACGTTATTATATATTTATACTTTTATTAGATAATTATTCGTTTTTATGAAACATTATATTTTTTACGTTGTGGGCAAAATAAAGTTAATATTAATAATATTGTTTATAAGCACATATATTTACCTAAAAATTTTAGAGAGTCTTTAAGAAAATCTGGGGGCCGGCTGAAACCCACTCAAACCCTTCCCCTCTAGATACGCCTGTGCTTCGAAACCTACTCACCCAGATTTACACTAATAGATATTAATTTTACTTAGTTATAATCAGTGTTACTGATGAATGATGACTATATCTATTGATTTCCATTCCAATTCTCCTCCACGATCTTTCATATCTTTCTTGGCCACGTCATTCCGTTTCGTTCTTGTTATGTTTCAAGTATTCTTTCTCTACTGGGATCTTTTCTTACATAATTCGAAGTAATGGGTTTTGACTTTTCTAGAGAGAGATGTTTAGAAACATGACGCCCTAGATTTTAATAATATTTACCTTCCTCTCTCGCCTTCACCTTAAATTAAACTAATACAATAATACTATATTACATCATTTACATCTAGAAAAAACGAATAAAAACAACAACTTTATTAACTTTGTATTTTTATCAATGGGTAAAAATACAAAATATATCTATATGAGATTATAAATGTTTCTTGAATCAGGGTCGCTTACCTCGAGCTTTTTGTTTGAAAAATATGAAATAGATATATAGATTACATCAACGTAATTAAATAAATGATTAAATCTGATTTGTCAACATTACCTAAAAGTTTAAGCGTTCTTCAGTTATTTTAGAGCTTACATAAAATGATTTAATTCTTATGTATCATAAGAATATTTTGTTGATGTTCTCTGAGTTATGATAACAATGATCATTGTTCGAACATCATCAGCACATTTGTTAAATTTTTTTGTTTAGTTAAGTACCTACCTCATTTCTCTCAAACTTTAAAATGTTTCCTCCACAATTGATTACCAAATTTACGTATCTATTACTAGATAAGTACTTACTCTGACTACAATAATAATTATATTACTGTTTTTATATGCTAAAAATGATCTCTTTTTAGTTTTTGGAATTACATGGAACAATATTATTATTTACATCATCTGTACGTTTGTGTCCATGCATTAGGTATACCGTATACATGCCTACGTCCTACATCTTTACTATTTTTTAATAGAAGCTAATCGCCCAAAAATTATAAAAAGGGCTTAAGCACTTAATAAATTTTATATGAAACCGACCCGTTTCACACTCCTTATTTACCTATCATACAATATCTGTTACATTTTATAACTCCATTAATAAAATTAATTTAATCATAGTTCTAAGATCCTAAGTCAATTATGAAATTGTTTGCAAGATAAATATTATTTATATTTAAAATAATATAGGTAATAATATTGTAGGTACTAGAAATTGTTTTACAATATACTTAAACCTGTTTTAAACATATTTATTTAAAACAGTTTATTAGTTTCATTATTGAGGAAATGAGGATTATTAAGTATTAACGTGAATAATAATAATTAATTAGTACAATGTATTTCTTGACCCACGCTAGAAATTGTCCGAGCTTTGTATTTATAACACTTATTTAACCAAAAGATTTAGGATGCTAGCGTTAAAGTTCAGTGTGCTCGTAATTCCTATGATTTGCACTAATGTTCTATTTTGTTTCAACAACATATTATTGGTTAATGGTTTTATTCACTGATCACGTAATTTGTACAATTTGCCGTGACAGATGTGTCAATTGCTAGGAACGCTGTCATTATTTTATTTTTTAAACCGCCAAAATGTTGATTGTAGATGACGACGATGACGTATCTACATCACTAACGTACAACTACACACGATCCACAGTTAAATCGCCGAAGTGTCAAATACATCAAATATTTTACAAACACACCTTGATTAATTGTCAGTTTGTTAATTTATTTAACATCTGTTGGACTTCAATACATTTTGTATTCGATTTATCTATCGCCTACGCCAGGGATCTCCAAACTACAGCCCGCGGACTGGATGCGGCCCCCGAATAAGTTTTCACCGGCCCGCCAAATAACGGCAAATATTCTAAAAATATGTATAGTTTCCATAGTCGTTATCACGCGCATGAGAAATTATCAGTTGTATTAACTGTAATTTATAAATTATATATAAAAATTAAATGTGTTCATACATTTTGATCTGCTAAGAGTTTTTTTAATTTTATTTAGCCCTCAGATAAAAAAACTAAAAAGTTTAGAGACCCCTGGCCTACGGCTAATGATTTACACGTCTACAAGGATACCTACACCATACGTTCATTAGTCTTTATCCCTAGAACTGTCAAATCTTTACACGTGATACGGACCTGTGGTTTCAACAATCGTGATATCGTTTTTTAACAATTACAATTTACAAATATAGGGATTAGATTATTAATAACTAGGGCTAGGATTTATATATATTTATGAAATCAAAATATGCATTTATGCTACCAAAATACGTACATAAATATGTGTTAAAACACTCAAAATATGTATTTCACTAATATGATTTATTTATTAATATTTAATTATTTAATATATTCATATGAGTTACTAATGAAACAAATTATATTTTAAATAGTAAAATTATTAAGAAAATGAAAAAAATATAAATAAAAAAAAACTAAAAAAAAAAAATGAAAAAATTAATTATCTTGATTATATTTATGATCACAGGCATTTTTAAATTTTCAAATTCATAAGACCTTCGATTTGGTTATAAAACTGCTTTATAACAACTAAATAATCCTTCGACTTCTACTAATGTTATTGGACAGTATTGTATTTTGACTATGTCTGAAAAAGTAAGTTCTACATTCAATGAAAATTTAGGAGAACGTCCATTGCAGAGAATACTTTTGATAGCTATTAATAAATCATAAATGAACTAATTGTCAAAATATGTAGGAAAAATGGAATTATTGAGAAATATGTAAAAACTTGTACTTATGGTTAAATATGTAAAATAAAATATAGTTCATTTTATTGGAAATCCCTTAAAACGAATTTATCACTTATCTAAATTTATTTATCAAGTCACTGTAAAAATATGTATTTACTATTTACATATAAATCCGACCCCTATTAATAACTAATATCTCTGATGGCTGAAGTAATAGTATTATTACTTAGGTACTTAAGTGTTATTAGGAATTACGGTCCCGAGTACTTAAACTTAAGATTAATTTAAGTTTAAAGATAGTTACAATTAGGTATGTCGATCATAATATAATTTGTTATTTTGATTATTTTCATTAAATGGGTACAAGCTCTTGGCTTCGTTAGTTCATTTTTTGGACATTATTAGGTACAGTATATTTTTTTCACCGTATACAAAACAAAAAAATTGTATTTAGATCCTAATTGCCTGACAAAACTGTAGGATGATGATTCATGAACAGGCTTTCAATATTTTACCAAAAGAATTTTTAAGATTCTAGAATACTTAATGATGAGACATTTTCAGCAGTACAGTCAGTAAACAGTTTATCTCAGACTTCAACAATTACGTATTTAGCCCGTTTAGGCCCTAAGATTTTACACTTGGATGATTAGGTATACATTAGTAGAACAAAATATTTTTTTTCAATTCAGATGTAAAAATAACTTCTCAATTCCATCATTGACTTTGGTATGTATGTACTATATAGGTAATATATTATTAATAAGGCTTGGAAATTGATAGTGTTCTATAAACACGTGAATCTAAATAACTAGTTTTTATTTTGCATTTTTAATATTTTTAAGGTCATTAACTTTCAAGCCATAATTATTACACACTGATAATTGAGTAATTGAGCATATATTAAATAACTTAAGTAAATTGAAATCAAATCAATTGTAAGACATACATTGCGATAATGTATACCTATTGAACTCTGATATTTTGTATTCATTAATTGTTTTTAGTCTTGGGTAAATTAAATTTTAATTTTTAATTTTTAATAGTAAAATAGTTCAAATATTAGTATAATGAAAATTAATAATAGACAAAATATATTATGTTTACTATTAACATTATTATCATTGATTATAGAATAGACTATAATCAGTGCTATTATTCATGTACATTGACTAGTTTTTACAAACCCATTTATAAAAAAATTACAATAATTAGTAATGTAGATAATTAAATGCTACCACAAACCAAAATCAAATAATTTAACTACGATATCACGTATTCAATTAACACTAGTTATTAAGTCATGGTTAATTCATAATAGTTATTATAATATAGTGTAGTAGTAGATAACAACTACTAAGAATACATGATTCAGTATTCACATTTACAAAATTTGTTTTCCATTATTTCATAAATGCAATTATACAATTATTTTGGTAGTAAATACATTGAATACTCTTCAGTGATTTGAGATTTAATTACTAGACTCATCACAGCATATTATATAATACATAATAATATATTAGTTATTGCATTTATATAGGCAGGAATTAGGTGGCATGTAGGGATGGTTTTGAAAATAGCCAAACCCCACCAAGCTCCATTAATCTCTACCAACAAAGGTTCCAATCTAAAAAAAATATGTTTTCCTACAAAAAATGGTGTTTCACATTTGTGTATAAATTAGTTATTAAAATATAAATATAAGACAAAGAATAAATATAGTAAAAAAAAAAATAAAATAATACTAATTAATTAATCTTAAAATAACTTTGGTGTTAAGTAGGTAATATGTTCAGTCTTCTTTGTATGTACCTATGTGAAATTATGATGTTTAGCATAATCAAACTAATAACTTAGATCAAATAAAATCTACCATTAAAAATAATAATTTTGTTTTTAACAAATCTGATCATCTGATTAATCAGTTGGTTTAGGGTGCTCTTCTGAATTAGTAACCTCATCCTCCACTTCTACCACATTAACATTTTCAAATTCTGCATAGTTAACTCCACTAGAAAAAAACAATAACAACAACAATAATAAATAACAATAAATGTATGCTGTAAAAAAATGTTTAGTGATTCATTTTTTTTTTTTTAAGAAGAAGAACCAATGTATAATACTAATGCTCTGAAATGTGTTTAAGCCTTAGAAATATTATTAATCAGAATGTTGTACATGTCTACATTAAAAGCATATATAACTAATCTAAGGAACAAAACGAGAAGTGATGAATAAACTTAAAAGCATACAAATGAGTGAATGTGATCTTATAATTGTTTTAAAAATAAATTGAATAATAATAAATAAAAATATAATGTTTGAACATAATACAATAATAGTAATATTTATGATTATTTTCAATAAAAATATCATTATTCACATTAACTCAGTTAATTAAGTTAAATTTATAAATTAAACTTTACATATTATACTACGTAAATATACTACTATGTACTACTACTAATAATAATAATAATAATAATAATAATAATAATAATAAAAAATAAAAATATTTATTATTTTCAACACTAAAATTACGTGCAACCTGTGAGATCATACAATTTCGAACTCTTCGGACTGAAAATATTAAAGAATAAGAAGATTTATTAAGTGTACATTCATTTTGATAATCATTATTTCACCAGAACCATTTGCTAAGACAGGGATTATGTTTTCCAATTCTTAATTGATTTTTTCTCAAAAAGCAGATCATGGCTATAGTACAGTAAACATGCAATAAGCAACAACATGCACAATACAAAATATTAAGCGTGGCACATACCTGTAGAATACATAATGTTGTAAGAAGAACAGTATGTCAAAAATCACTGAAAGCAAACCCAAACCAAATTTGGTCGGATCACCAAATACTGAGGCCCAATCGTCTACAGTAAAATAAAATGTTGATAAATTTACAAACACAATATTTTTTATACAAAAATAAAATTACTGTAGTTGTATGCGTTGATAATCATCTGCAATATACTAAGTAGTCCTCCTGTAAAATCTAAGAATATGTTGCCAATACTCCAACCAATCGTACTTTTACGTTTGTAATTCATTACTGCCTAAAAAACATTTATTTTTATTATAAAACACACGCAATATGAAATAAGTATAGCGTATTCAATATAATTTTACTTTAATGATATATGTAAAACCAAAAACAAATTTAATTATAAATTAATTTTAAATTTCTAATAATTTTGATCTACTAATAATATTAAGTTAGAGATGTTTATTTTAATAAGTTATTATGATTTATTACAAAATTTTGACTAGGTACATTATAGCGGGAAATGCATTCCAAACCACTATAATAAAGATGTGAAGATAAATGATTTCACAAGGCATGCTTTTTGTTGTGAATACAGAAATAAATTGTTTATTCTATTTTATAACTGGTTTAAATATTTTTAGAGGATGAGTGAACATACTTGTGGAATGTATTTGATGAGTGTTATGGTCAACTTAATATATGAGCAATAATAAAGGAAGTCCAGCCATACTATCTTTTGTAAATATACAAGAACTAATGATATAGCTATTATTAATGCGTAGAAGGACATGATTGATTTGGCTGTCCGAGAAACTTGTTGATCACCTTTCTGTAAAATATATAAATATTTAATAATAAAACAGGACACTAGTTAACCAAATTATTTACATAATATACATATTTTATAATGTGATGTAATCATTTTATAAAATAATGTTATTATTACATAAGCAATATTAACTAAAGATTACCTCATAGAAATAACATTGGGTCACAGTTATTAAAGTAGCAAATACAGCATGAATAGAAAAGAATATGTCATTTAATTGAACTGGATTTAGTCCCCGAGGATTTCGGGCAATGTAATCTTTCTATTTAAACACAAAATATAGACAGGTAAATAAATGGCAATCAAAAGATATTGATGACTAATAATACTTCTATTTCAGGTATCCATAGGCCAACATTGAACATTGAATACAAAATAAATCCAACCAAGTTCAATACAATGAAATCAAAATTTAAACCTACAACACTAAAAATAATACAAATTATTAATGTACTAATCAGATTTTTATTGTATGTGTTGCATTATGCTAAATATTATTAATAACACGAAAAATTATAAAAAATAAAAACTTAATATTCTAAATTATAATTGTTGAATAATGAAATTAATTTAAAGAATTAAATTGTTTTATTTAATTGAAAATGTAATTTTATAAATGCTGTTTGGTATTAAAATTAAAATAAACTACAGATAATAGATATATCGATTAGTATTACACAAGATTTATAAAAACCAAAACACAAAATTTATCCAACAATCTATACCTGTTGTTTAATGTTACGAACAAGGTCTTTCAATTGAAATAACTAAAATAAACTTAAATACTTAGCATTGGTACATTCAAGTTTATACTTAAAGCCTTTGAATTTATAATAGGTTGTTAATTGTAATAACACTCATAAATAAACATATGCTATTCAATGGATGTTTACTGTCTAGAATAATTCAATTGAATAGATTAATACTTTATCAAACATGAAGTAATCACATTAAAAAATGAATAATAAAATATTTCTTAACATAAAAGTATAATTATTTTTGGTTTAAAAATGTTAAATTTCAAAATTGTAGTTTGTTAATTACTATACATTTTTATGTTAAAAATGTTATAAAAATTAAAATGAGGCTTCTTTGGTAAGTGTATGTAATAATATTTACCTCGGAAGCCATACTACATAATATATTACATAATATGTCAATACATATATTATAGAAAGAATATGTGTTCACTTTTACTAATTTTATTTATTTTTTTATTGGTACATATCGTACTAACATAAGGATATAATTTACCAAACAAATTGTCATACATAATTAATCTATTAAAAATAAGTTCATTACAGAACCAATATAATAGTATGTTCAATTATTATAACCAATAAAAAAAATTCAATGATTATCTTGTAATTAATTTACTCATGAAAAACTATTAAAAGACAGTAAATTGTTGATAAAGATTAAAGTAATTTTATTCTATACAAATTAAAATGTACATACTATACAAAAAAGAAGTGGTTTAACCTAAGACAAATTCCATAAGAACAACAATATTTCTAATATTTTTAAATTTTATCATGAAAATTATAACTAAGTTGAGTCAGATACAACATAGGTATAATCATTGATTATAGAATATTCTATAATCAATGGTATAATCCACAAAATTATATCTTTAATAATTATAAGAAACTATATTTTTTCCATGATATAACTATATTTCTTATGTAATTTATATAGTACAAATTACATAATATTGATAAAATTATATTTTCTAAAAAAACTCTTTTAAGTATGTGTTACCTTTTACGTGTCCAGTTTTCATACATCTGAGGATAGAATGATATTGACCATGCAACAAAATAAATCCATCCAACAACAACGCTGACTAAAGCTAATTCGTTTGAATATTGCAGAGTAACTCTTACAAAAGCATCACTGGATCTGTAATAATACAAACATTAATATAAAATATAATTGTGAAAAAAAAATCAAATTTTAAATATATAATTGTAATTAGAAATGCATAAAACAAATAATAAAATGTTTAAAATAAAATACATATAATTTATTCTTCAATTAAAGTATTTGGTAAATATTTATTTATAAGTTCCTAATACAAAGTGATTTTGTTATTATTTTAAACAAAACATATTAGTTTAGATTTCAAAATAGAGAAATAATTTTTTTTTTTTTTTTAATATGATTTAAAATTTCTAATTTTTAATTATTAAATATTTTTGAAAATACATTGAATTAAAAATAATCAATACATATATTATGTTAAAACTACTTTTTTACCACCTTCGCTAAGTAAATCATTAAATGTAAGGTAATAGTAATTGTATTATTAAGCAATACAATATAATTGCTGAAGGCAAGCTGCAACAAACTTATGTCAAGGATGAATAACAAATAATAATATATAAGTACGCTATTTAGTATTGAATACTCTAAAAATTGAATAAAACATTTTAACACAGGTTTCATACAAGAATAACTTTTAATAAATCAACTATTTACTTTATAAGTATATCAATAACCTAACAATGTATTTACAAATTCTTGAATTATAATTTCACTTGATATCATTTCATTTCATGTTTAAAATTTAAAAAAAGACATTAATATATTAATTAAAATATAATTCAAAGATTGTATTACTTTATAGATGGAGGATAGGCATCAACTTTTAATAAATCATGGCCGGCATTATGACCAAACAACTCAACTGGCCATGTATTTGAACTTGTAGAATTGTTGACTTCTATTTTAGTAATATTTGTTGTTAGTAAATCTTTATGATTAGTGCTGAGGATTAATGTGGTATTTACTGGTACTTTGTCCCTAAAATAAAAGGATAAAGGTCAAACAGTGAAATATTGTAAGTAGGAACAAAATCAAAAGTAAAAAAAATTAAACATTGTCAAGGTTTTTACGTTAAGGTCAATGTGAGTGTTGTTGAGTCATTCACCAACAGTACCAAATCCTTGGTGTTGAACGAAAAACTTGCACATGCCTGGGACGCACCTGTCAGAGGAATCAATTAATATTAAGTTAAAACTTATTGTACGACATTGTTCTTACTGCATGCGATCAGGATAAACGCGACTCGAACTAGACTCCTCATCGTAAATTGTTCAGGTCGGACAACCATCGGTTACAGACTGAGATAACTGGGGAAAAAAAATTTTTGAATAACATTACAAAACAAACAAGCACACACTCTGGCGCAATTGCAGTCCAAACAACATGTGCATTATAATAACGTATTATGATTGTTTGTATTTACATAATATGCAACACGTGTGTGTAATTATTTGTCTGAAAAAATCGCGAAATCACAATCGAGCAAATTTTGATGGTAAATTGATGAGTATCGATCATAACTCGTTTTGTTAGATACCTGACAACAGCGGTAGCCGATCGGACGTACGTGCAATTCTTGAACAAGAGCGGCGCCCGTCGTATTCTCGACCCGTACACATCGTAAGAAATTATTTTGTTATTTTTACAGTAATTATGATGGATCTATCGATCGATAACTTCAGTGCCGGCATGCGCCCGCCCATTCTCCGTCTGGCGTGTCAAAACACTGGCCGAGGTCGAATATTATATTTTATTATTACATGTCAGTCGCGTGACTATTATTTTCAAAACGTATTGCAGAAATCCGATTTACACGTACGGATCCCAGCTACCGTACTACATCCGTTATCAATTTATCATCACTGTTCACTTAAAACGATACGACAAACAGACGAATAACACGGTTGTAGCATCTATTAACTACAATATTATCAATATTGAATCGTCATGAGTCGATGGTGAACAAGCCATAAATACCAACGGATTTCTGCGCGATTTTCGGCCAACCGTTATCATCGCGAACACAATACCTACTGGCCGTAACACGTCGAACGAGACTATTGTAGTCGCTAAAACATTACAACACGTCCATTTGTACAACATGTGTATTTAGGTCAGAATTATAGTTATCATCGGCTCAGGTATTAAAAACGGATACGTTTTAATGAAAAAATATTAATTATTATTCGGCGAGAAACAATAATAGCGGCTATAATAGATTACCTATCTCGATAGTCGATAGATTTTGAACGCGGAACACCCGCGCGCTCGAGATAAGACGGGTCGCGAGGTGATAATAATACTACCGCCTCGGCGGCATATACATATCATATTATTATTCCTATTCTATGGCAGTTGTTATCTCGATATAACATTGTAATTTGTAACGAAAATCTACCCGGTGGCAGCATGGCATCGATCCGATCAAAGCGTGCGCGTATTATAACTATTATTTTAATATAATAACAGTAATTATTATTATTATTATTATTATTGTAATCACGAGAATGTCAATGCATTAATTAATGTTTTTCTCTCTGACCCATACGCTACATAATATTATAGTAATAGCAAGTTTTGGTTCAGCGGAACCAATCAGCCGGTCCGTTAACTTTGCTGCGATATGAGAGCGAATTGACCTATTATCAAACTCAGAGTTGGGAACATAATAATATTACCTATCTGTATAGACGTATAGTGTATTTCAATGTTGAATTTTAGATTGTAAGCGGAACGATAAATGTTTTTTATTTTAGAAATTTAGAATTGGTTGATACTTTGGTAGGGGAAGGCGTCAAAATTTAGTGATTTTAAAATAATCAGAAAAAGAAAAAAAAATTTTAATAATATCGATTTTTTACTTCATTGTAATTCAAAAAGTAAAAATCTCTTTTCAAGTTATTTATAAAAATATAAAAATTTTAATTGTTTTTTTAGTTTTTATTCACTAAATGTCAATTAATGAATTAAAAATGTTCAACACGGTCAGAACAATTAAAAATCATAAAAAAATTTCCTTAAATTGTTATAGCTATTTAAAAATATTAAAGGTACATACGATTTTTTTATAATTATTTAAAGTTGATTTTTTGACAAATTTGTCAAAAATCAAATTAACCTATAATATTAAAGAAATTTACGTTTACTTATAAGTTATAATTACTTAAACAAAACATTATAACGATGTTATTGTTCGTTATTCGTGATACAATACTTGACAAGACCTCGGGTGTATTCATATTAGTGTTTATTGTAAAAATATATTGTACGATTTGTACGAGTTATGAGAATCTTAAGCTCGTTACAGAAATATCAAAAACATCATAAAATACAATTATTACTGATATAGGTTGACTGTCTTCAACCAGAATTATTTTTTGCATATTACCAAGTGCGATGATTGAATAATGTATCATTGAATTAAAATTTAACACATCTATTAGTCGTTACAATGACCTACTCGACACCTATATTTAATATTACTATATATTCATTAGGCTACAGTCTACAGTTTATTTAGGAAAAAATAAAGATATTAGTTGATAACCTTTTTTTTTTTGCTTTTTCTATTATAAAGTAAAATTTACACATGTATAAGTCTCGGACTGAATCTGCCTATGCTACAGAGAAAACGATACCCGCGTACTTTTTTTACGGTATTTCTGTAAGTTTTCTTTGATATTTTAGCATTTAAAATTATTTAAATTTTTACATGTGTACATTGTACTGACATCTTATTACATGCAGAAAATACAAATAATCATAATTTCTTGTAATAGAATATACCTATTGGTTTCTACTCAATATTGATAATATTTACGTCATTTATAATATTAATACCTAATACCTACCTAATAACACAATATTATTTTTAATCAATGATAATACTAGGGATAATACCTATTAATGTATATATAGGTACTTATAAGTTATAATTTGAAATAATTATATGTTTATCCATAGCCGTGTTTGTTCTGCCTATACCTGCCCAATAACTATCAAATAAACTGTGCAAAAAAAATATTGAGATTTTTTACTTATAAGCGGGGCTTGAAAATATTTTTAGTAAATTATCTTATTTGAAAAAAAAAACTATAACTAACTTGAAAGGCTAATTTTATGATTATATAGGTATTTATATATTAGAGACGCCTAGACGCTGTATAAAATATGCATTTGTAGTTATAGTTAGATATTTTTTGTTTAAAATGACAATATTTTAATAGTTATAATAGGAACAAAAATAAAATTGTAATTAATTTTTAGTATAGACTTATAGGCAAACTAAAAAATTAAATGAATTATAAGAACTATGCAAGTCATGGCCATCTGTAATTCTGCGAAGGAAATCATTTATCAATAATATTCGTTAGAAAAAGTTAAACTAATGGAGACAAACACTGCAATGACACACTATGTCTATGTATATCTATGTACATAATATATATAATATATACTACATTATGGACATCCGGTAGACTGTGAACTTATTAAACAATTTCCTAAACTGATCATTAATTAGTTTAAAGTTAAATTAGAACGCGATTAGTCAAATATTTTAGTAGGCCACTATAGTTATCAAACTTTCAGTGAAATAGTTTTGATACATAATACACATATATACTATATATAATAATAATAAAATAATAGCTGTCTTAAGGTGGAAAAAATTATTTCATAATTAATGGGGTTTTATCTTATTAGACAAAACAATATAAATCGATTGAGATAATACTACGTAAACATACCTATATCATCATTAATATAATATGTTAATCATAGCTTCAAAATTTAATAATTTTTATACTCGATTTTTTTTTTTTAATTTGTTAGGTGTATACATATTAGCTAACTCATAAAACTATATATAAGGTTAAATAAAATATCAATACCATATTTTTTTAATTAATAAAACCACTAAAAGTATTTAGATTTCAATTTATTTTTTACTAAATTTGTTTATGTTAGTTTAGTTAAAAAAATTCAATATTTTAAGTTGTTTTATGTGATTGGGAAAAATATAGTTTGAATTAGGTCATTAGTAAAACGTTAAATTTTTTTTTCATTACACTTTCAGTTTGATTAAGTTTCGTTAACCCAAAATATTAAAACATATATTTTTTTTTTGTTGTTTCATGAATACAAATTTGAAATTATTACTGAAAATCATTAAAATTAATTAGCAATATTCTTAAAATAATACTAGGTAAATGAGGTTTATCTATAAAACATTATGGGCCATGGTCACGAATGAAGATATTTTCATCACAGAAAAATAATAATAGAAACAAATAAATACCTACTTGGTAGTTTATTTAAAATTCTAAAAAATGTTATTTGTTGAGCATTAATAATAATATTATTATCTCGAATAAATAATAATCTTTTCTAAGTAGGCAATTCTGCATTGGTGCTTATATAAAGCTACTACTATAATAGTCAATCGTAATTCGTAGTAAGTGGTTAATTAATTTAATAACTATTATATAATTATAATTTAACTTTTAAGCTCTTTAATACTATAATTGAATTAAAATTACCAATTCATTAGCTATTATGTCTCAATATACCTAAGTACTTTTTATATATTATTAGATAGGTACCTGTGTATTATAATTTACATAGTAAAGATATATATAAGTATTTGAGTGTAATGTATCTGTCAGTCATTATTTTATTGGATGATGTATTATTTCAGATAATTTCATAATAAAAAAAAACAAAAAACACAACCAAAATTGTCATCAATGGCTTAAATTAAATGACATATAATTATTCGCGGGGAAACTGAATTGAAGAGGGATAATGTTACTAAAAAAATATATCGCTATAAAGATGTTACAAAATAAAAACAATTAACTATTACAAATTATTATTAGAGATAGACTGTTTGGTGAAATTTTAAAATTGAAAAATGGTGTTAACTAAAATTAAAAGTATTAAGGAGTATAGGACACTTATTTTGTTGCTAGAAATTGACTTACATATTATTAATTTTACAATTTTTAAAACAATTGTTTTTTTATTAATAATAATTTTAAGCATTCAAAAACTGTTTGATAAATACATTTTTTGAAAATCAAAAAGCTATTTATGTGTAATCTTATGTATAAGTTATGTTGTCATGCCTAAAACTATTAATAGGTAACTATTTAAAAAAAAATAAAAATAACAGATACACTATTTTAAAAATCAGTAGTTAAAATGTTAAACATATTAGAATGAACGCAGTGAAACTGCTAATATATTCTATTGAAATGTATTAAGTTTTAAATTTATAATAATGGTTTGTATACGTGAAATATAGGATACTGACTGATTAGTGGCACACTCCTATAATACCTATATTGCTTATCACTGTAACTTAAATTCTCAATTTATAAAATTATATGGCTCATTCTACTTAAAAATAGTTTAACATGAAAATATTTAATGAAATAGTAACAATATTACAATATTGCTAGGTATAAAAAAAAAATCTAAAGACATTTTAAAATTAAATGATTCTTAGATTGACCTTGCGTGCTCCGCGTAGAATCTATTTAATTATCCATGGTTATACTTTGGGTGATTATTTAATGATTAATTATAATTTAAACTTTTTTTTTAGAAAAAACTAAAAGTATTATAAAATTCAGTTTGAAAAAATTAATTGTTATTGTGTTCATAAAAATATTAATCATACCTATACATAAAATATTTAACACAAATGCAGTAACCATAAAAAAATTGCTTATTTACAAGTATGTGTATTTATAAAATAATTATTTAACAACGTTCACTACTCTATTATATAGGTAATATATATACTTTTAATAATAATTGCTAGTAAAAGTTTTTATTTTTTGAGTTATAAAAATAAAAATTAAATCACTAAAAATTATTTTTAACACATTCTGCCTGTGAAGTAAGATACACATATGTCAGGTATTGTGCTTATTTTTTTTATATAATTAACTAGAAAACCATTCAAAGTAAAAATAACTAGTAAAAATTCATAGAAAATTTTAATAGAAAGAAAAAAATACCTGAAGAAATAATATCCGAAGTATCCAGTTGTACATCATCATTAATTTAATTGATATAATTTAAAGTATACAAAATAATGATAATGATAGTGAAATATCATTAGATTTTTTTTTTATCAAGTGTAATTTACTTTCATATTTGTACTCCCAATTATTAATTATTCATTTTTCATTTCAAGGTACCTATGACCAATACCTCTATTTTTAACTATTTATTGC